ACTTTTTAACTAACTCTTCTTCATTCGCTACTCGTTTTGTAATGCAATCAAGTTTCAAATAAGTATCACTCTACCAATTGATTTGATGATTAATGATGTTTTCAATGAAAACGCATTGATGGAGTGCATGAAGGTGAAGTTCAAGAAAAATCTATTCATTTGATGTAAACAATATTATTTTCTTCAGGCGAGTTTATTGAAGACCGAATTGCGAATCAACTAAAAGCACGTATCGATCAAACGACAGATGAAATTCATCAACTTCGTAAGTTTTCAAATCATGTTGCAATGAAAGCGTAAAGACTCCGCTTAGAATGCTCGTGACCTACACCTTAAATGATTTGCATGACTTTGATACACACTGATGTCATACATCATCTTATGAAAAATCCAGTTTCTTGAAAATTGTTGATATGGAGAATTTTTGAAAAATATGTTGTCATGTCCGATACCAGTGATTAGCACAAATCTGAAGATTTTTGGCAGTACAATTGTTTTTCACTTATTCCTATTTAGCGCGAGCATACGTAATAGCAAAGATGTTGAAAATGTTCCATTTTTTTCTCACTCATTTCGCAACGAGACTACCGCAGAACTCATTCTTGAAATTTGAAACGTTTGGGTTTATTATGGATCTGGATTCTTCTGTAATTTAAGGACAGGAGGTAACAATGATGAAAGAAGGAGCTGCGAGGAAACTTGCAAACGCTCAAGAAGCCATCGGTGAGTTGCTTGCGCTTGTATGTACTTGTTTATCGGTTGCGAATGAACATTGCTCACTATCGATTAAATCCATGCGATGCTGCAATAGAACAGTTTAAAGAAATGAATACTTTCTTATCACGGGTTCAAACGACCCTGAAATTGTTAGCAAAAGCATGCATCATTTGTCATATATTTACAATCGCAAGGTAACAACTTCAAAAACATTCCCCTCATCATACAATTACGGACTACAATTTGGCGAGGCCTTGAGAAACTGTTAGGCTCTCAATAAACATAACGACCTCAATATACATGGAATAGCCTACTTCAGTGCAAGAAATACAAGCTATCAAAGAAGGGACTGCGATGAAGGTTTCTGGGGCTGCACAAGCCGTCGGTTAGTTATCTTTCCCAAATTACTCAGCCTATGTTCTTACACATGGTTTATAGATATTTCAGTCCTCTAAGCAACCTCAGTAAGAAGGCAATCCTCTTAAAGATATTATCATACCGAGTTGATATCTGAAAGAGTATACTTCAGCGCAAGAAGTACAAGGTATCAAAGAAGGGGCTGCGAGGAAGGTTTCTGGAGCTGCACAATCCGTCGGTAAGTTGTCTTCTCCGAATTACTCACAATCAGACTATCTTCTCATAAGTGGTTCATAGATTTCATCATGAACACATTACATTTGAAAATGATACCAGTTTTTTTTGATGCTATGTAAGTAACAGTTTGATGTTCAATTGATCAAAATACAGGTGCCGAGTTAATAGAGGCAGGCAGAACTCTTCAGCGTGAAGGCTCACAAATCTAACGAGCACATGAATAAATTCGATCGCCTTTCTGTTTCTGCGCCCTACTTAATGTGAACTGCTGCCTACAATAAATGACTTTGTGCTCAACAGATCTAAACTTGTGCAACCACTCATAATATCCCAAGATGTATCTCGTCGCTTCACCCGTCAACTTTTTCAAACCTTCCAGAAATTCAACCCCATTTCAGACCCTGAATAAAAATTTCATTACGTGAACAACCGGTTCGATGGCAATCTGTTACTGAGTAACAATAAGCAAGAGTTTGGATTAGTTTGAACGCAATATGAGCACCAAAAAAACGGAAGAAAAATACTCAGTTTGTGCTGTAATTAATGGTGGTTCAAAGAAATGAAATACTAACAAATGAAAAATGAGAACATTTCTCGGAATTCATTTGTTATTTTGTTCCAGTTGATTGGTGTAAGCAATCTGAGAGCGCACAGAATAACATTTGGAAGATTTTATTCACGTCAGTTATTTAATCTGTCATTAGAAATAAGCACTCAATATAGTGGTCATTTTTCACACAATTATTATTTCAGTGTTCCCTATTCCAGTAGCATTTCAAGATTCAAACAGATCTTTCTCAGATTCTTTCTTCACGGTGAAAATTTCGTCTGATACCACTAATTTCGAAATCTTTCGATAGTTCGTTTTGCTTTCAGCAGAATTATGCGACTGTAACATTCGTCAAATACCTTTAATTTGTTCAGAATTTTATGCATATATTTAACGGATAGCGAATGCGATCGCTCTACTTTTCGACACACATGAAGTTGTTAATTAGTGACCGCGAAATTTCTCAAGTGTTCGTAGGCTTCTTCACTGCTATCAGACCATCTCAACTTTGAATCGCTATTTAACTGTGCAAAAACGGAAGTAATCTACTTATAAACCGCTGAAAAAAATGTTATAAAAAGGATCTAGCAGTTTATTTTAGAACTTTGAACCCTCTGCAACTCAGAACAGAATAGTGGATGAATCCGGAACGGAAAGGTCCTGCTGTTTCAAATGTTAATAGAAGACCGTTTGATTTTGTTAACATAAGATCCCAAACNCAGATTCAACTACATGCATTGTTTGCTCTTGTTGGCTCTGAGACGTACTGTTTTCAGTTGATTTGTACGTTTCAATAAATAAATAAATACTACACGATTACGTAAATTTTTATGGTAAACATTCGCTACAAACGAGCACTGAGCAACGCGAAAAAGAACAAGAAGAAAGTGGAACAATTCAAATGAGCAATGACAGAAGAGTTTAGAGAGGAAGTCGATAAAATTTATTTCGATCATCATTCATCTCAAAACAATATCCAGTTGATTGTAAACGAAAGAAATGAAAGTACATGCAAGAATCTGTGTTCCGTTCAACATTACATCTTATTCGAATACCGTCTTTTGATGCAAATCCTCGTTGATAATTGTGGCAATCTTGATTTGTTTCAACGACAGATTCACCAAAAATTTCATGCTGGTGTCAACTGGTTCTATTAAAACATAATTGAGAGAGGATATGTCGAAAAATTCAGTATCGGTCGGATCAAACTAAACGCAGAAAGTTTCACCAGTTCAGTAACTCACTTCAGTCTCTCAAAATTAACAAAACCATACACAAAAGTTATGGATTCTAAACAAAGTGGTGTTATGCGTGTAAAAAACCGTAAACAATTTCAATTGAACGATGTCATGGGAATGATAAGATATAAAAACCAGAAGAGCACACGCTTCTCAAGCAGTGTGCTGGAAATGAAACAGTGAGAACAGCAGTGACTGATAAATTAATTTGAAGCTTGTGAACAATGCGAGAATAAATTAATGATGGTGGAACAATATCACTGCATACGTGAAAATGATGCGTTCGCACCAAAACTGCTTCAATATATTCGTCGAACAAAACCTTTTGGCAAATGAGCAAAAATGTCACAGACTGAAAGAAGGAACATGAAGTCGAATCTCATTTCATTTCACTCTTATAAAAATTAAATCACTTTACTAGATACGTAGTTATGGTAATAATACTATGAACAATACCAATTATTACTATAAATAAACATTTACATCAACCAACAACAATGATACCTTTAAAGATTAAACCTCTCTCTTAACAGCATCTCTGGTCTTTTGCGAAACAAAGCTCATTCGGGCATACTTTCATTATTCAAATTTGTCTTGTACGTTCATTACGATAAGAATCATGTCAGAATAAGTGCACCGAAATGTGCAACAATCTGAAGGCAAGCTAAAAAATGCAGCAAATTACAGCTGTCAAGGTAAGCGGAACAAATGAGTGAGTATGTTTCACAGCGATGGATCTATCCGAATGAGCATTGCCCTAGAAAATGGACAAACGAAATTCTATATTCATAGATCTCTATTCCTACGAGACTATGCCATTATAAAATAAATAAACTCATAAAAATTTATTTATATGTACAAAACAAAAACACCGAGACGAGTACAGACCACTAGCAGTGAATGCACAACAAATCAATTCAACCATAAGAACATTCCTATACATACATTTGCATATAACATAATATGTATTTACAACGTTAACCATGCGCAGTTAACACTGAAACAAACTCACATTGCTCAACGTCATTCTTGATTGTACAAAAACTGAACTCTGAATCAGTGCATAAGCAATGAGGGAAATAAATCTACAATTCTCCACGATACTGGAATAATCATACAATCATCGGCGTAGTATAAGTCGATAATTTTCAATTTGGCAGCATAATCGTTTTTAAAACACTCATCAGGAATGTGGTCAAAATCCTCGAAATAGATACCGACAAAGCTTATGTTTGATTTTCGCGAGAATTTGAATGCAAATCTCTCCCTGACTACACTCACGAGAGACCTGCTACTAATTTAATTGAGCTTCTTTTCTGACTTCATTATGAAAGTATCTGTCCACAAAATCGGTCATTTAAATATCTTTTTTTCGTACACGCATTCGGCCAAAGGCTGAACAACTAAGTAATTGCAACTGCGAAATGTGAAGTATCTTGCGATCTCGTGACCAACAATAAATAGCATATATACAATGGTGATAACACATAATACCCTAATGAAGAATTGGATAAATAAGTTATGATAAATTAAACTGTACACAAATAAAACTCTTTAAAGTTTTCTATGAGTGAAATGGATCGATAGCGCATGCGACGAGCAAATTTCATTTTGATGTCGCTAACGATCCATCGCACGCACAGACAGACCTCTAATAAACAAAGAACAACAAAGCCAAAATCAACAACACAACACAAATGTGATAACAATAACAAATTGGCAGTTACAATCCACAAGAAGTCGCTCTATTTGAGAAAAGTGTCAAATGAGAAGTTGCAAAACGGGTGGAAAGTAAACGGCTGCGACGTTGGCGATTAGTCGCAGATCTGAATAGTCACAACCGATTACATTTGCAACTCGTTCAGCCGAAATGGTCGATGAAGAAAGTTTGTGAGTGGCGTGATAGGAGGATGATCTGCTGAAACGATGTGATGAGGATACATGCGGAGTATTCCTTTGTTGCTGTTGCTGTTGTTGTTGTTGCTGACCGAAATCAGCACCTAACATTTCAACTAATGAGAATGACTTAGCTAAAATGTCACCGAGTGAATCCTCAAGAAACGATATCAAAAAGGATGGTGCTGCTCCGATACGATAGAGATCATTGAACTGTTCTAGCATGGCTACGATTGCCTCGCATGGTGCAACCATTACATTTTCTTGCACATTACATTCGTCTCCTGAGATCACCTGAAAAACAAACAAAAATTTCAGTTCAAAAAACTAATTCATAAGATTTTATGGCATTAATTCATCAGTTTTCAAAACGTTTCAAAAGTAGCGCTAAGCTTCAGCAACAGTTTTTTATCAATCATAGCCACGAGTTTGAACATCTCGCACAGCTAGGTCTCTTCCTATCAACCATCATCAGCATTAGCACTCTTCAAGGCGAATTTTTCTAACCGAGCTGCTAGGGAACCGAACCATAATCATTAATACCACTGAACAACCGCACTACCTCGACGCCATTCAATCACATCGCATAACGCGAAATATAGTCTAGTAGCAAATACAAAGGAAAACACTCTCTTGGTAACAATTTTTTCCATACACTGATTATTTCAGTAACTTGCGGGATTTGAGTGAATGAATGCCTACATGAAACATAATGAGACGTTTGAATGATAAGTGAGTTAAGTAAGATTCTTGAAATGCATATTGTGAAGTGTATCGAGAAACGACGTCTCAAACCATCAACAGAAACAAACGAACTTTAACAGTGTAGTTGTTCGTGTCAGCGAAAACAATGACCGTTGGACTGAAGAGTGCCGTATCAGAAGCAGTCGATGAACTTGACGATTCCGGAGAAGATGCACAAAACAATTCCGATTCACCGTTTTTCACATGATCGATCATCGATGATAATGTCTGCAACTTCAACAATTCATCCATAGTTTTTGAAATGAAAAAAGTCAAACACTTGAATGAATAGAGAAATACTGAACAGAAACATCGGTGAACAACAGTGAAACAGAGCAGAAACATTTTAAGATTGACTAAAGTGAACTGTAATAATGGAAGATTATTGCGAAGAGAGCATTTAAAGAGCAATGGTAAGACAAATAATAAGAAAGTGCCTACCTCAGTGAAATTAATATTCGAACGTTTTAGACCAGACAAAACGAAATGTGAACAATACGATTCACACGGTCCGGCCAGAAGCGATCGAGCCAGAGTTGAATCGAAAAACGAGCACTTCTCCAGTGTTTGCTCCATTTGTAGATTCCAGTCATCCTCTGCTGTTTCATCCTCATGCAAAACACATCTACCCTCCTCTTCCTCAAGATCCATTGATTCACCGCACGACGACGAACCGTTTTCATCACCTTAACGATCATATCGAATACTTTACTCTGTACGCTTCGAATTCACCTCATCAATATGACATTACTGCAATAATTTGTTAGCTTTTTCATGAAATCTTAACTAAACTTGTGTCCTCAAACTTTGAGTATTTTTTAAGAATTCACGCAATAAATCTTCACAGTTCCCTCATCTAGAATAGAAAACAGAAAATGGGAAACGCACGACAAAAAGCAGCTTGTTAATCTAACTCATCACGAAATTAATGCAATCAATGAGTTTTTCTAAATTCTCGTTATTCCCTCATGTCTTTACTCGATGCATTATGTTTACATTGTGAACTCAAAACGAACACACTAGACAACACCAGACATAAATCGCAACATCTTCAATTGTGTACTCTAGAAATAATGCTCATTTGAAAGGACTGAATAGCTGTTCGGGAATGCGATGTGCAATAAGGTCATCATCACTGCAGAGCGCATCACTTCAGTGTAAAAAGCATTATTATAAACCAGTATGCACACAAAAGTGCACATTAGCTCTGATTGTAAACGAACCACATCTTCAAAACTGTCGGATATTCATCGTTTATTCAGTGCATATTCCTGGCGAAGACACAGACAGACAAATTTTGTTCGACGTAATTTCTTTGCGAACATGCAACTAGCACAAATTCCACTTCTTTCAATGCAGTATCGTCACACACTGCTAAGAAAACACATACCAAAAAACATTTCGAGCAGAATGCATAAAAGAAAAGATCTGATCTAGACGTTCTTTCAAACGATCTTCACCAAATGCTCAATCTTACCGCACATAAAATGATTTCTTTTAATCAATGACTCACCAAGATTTTGAATCCAACATACAATTAGCGACTTCCTTCCTTAAATTAACTACCGAGTCCCCTCTCTTTTCGCACAAATCGAACAGTTTTTGTTGGTACTATTTTGTTGCAGTTGTCTTCAAAACAATTTACAGTTCACCAGTGGGAATGAAATCAATCGAATANAATAACATAATGTTAAAGAAGTGCCGATAGCGCTGAATCAAACACATCTGATCGTGAGACTGTAAAGAATGTTGTTGCATTTCATGTTATTCAGTAATCAGTTGCTCGATTGCTCTCTGCTTGTATATCTTTCTTTAAATGTGCGCTGTTCCACACTTCAAACCCAATTCCCAAAGAATAGAATTGTAGTTTGCAGACAGGTGAGATCTTTCAGAGGTGTGATTGTTACGATAAAGAACAACGTTGTTGGAATGCAAGAATTCTATGTGGTTTAAAAACTCAAATAATACGACGAATGCACAGATCTCAAATTCCATTCATATGAATCAACTGCACAACAGATCGCTGATTGATGGTGACTTCGATCAATAAAAACTTCAATTCATCAAAAGATACCCCAAATTTGTTCCGACTGGAATTTCGAAATAATGATCAATTCCAAATCAGTGGTGATATGGCGACTGCGGAACATACATCAATTCACAAATAACTGATTAATGGGAAATGATCGTCTCTTCTATGGAAACCATTGCTCTTACGACGCATACTGAATCCATGTTCGTTTCCAAGAAAAAAGCCATTCTCAGAATAATATTATTACGACGACGAATTTTTTAGGTTGACCCATTCCAAATATCTTATGATTTCATGTTACTTTAAGTGTTGTTGAATGCCAAATTGTATCGCATCGAAAACATCAATGGATGCGTTAATCAATGAAGGCTTAGAAAAAACTTTTGCGGTAATTTTTTCATTGTGCTTTAATGCACTATCATGCACCATCGTTCCATTCGTTTGTTGTCTATTTATGCAATTTTATTCTGAATTCATCGGCATTTCTTCGCATGAAAAGAGTGCATCAAGTAAGATAATGATCTTAAAAACGCGAAGAATTTGTGTTCTTTCGATAAGATGACAGACAGTTCATTCACATGACTAGTCGCTTTCTGATGAACTTTGTTTCCGCGTTCCTTCTCCTTTCATCTCCAAAAGAAAAAACTCATTCATAAATCCACCGACCTGTTGCTGTCAATCATAATAATTATTCGTTTCAGCATTCGTACTCAGTCACATTCCTTATCAAATTACGCATCTATTTGATCATATGTTTCATCGCGATTCAGTTCCTTGTCAACAACATCAACTCATCATCCGCAAATTCACTGAATTCATATGCCGCAACCTCAGAATTAAACGCTCTTTTCTTCATTTGATTGATAAGACGCCTTTCTTACTCAAGTTTCTGATATTTGGATTCTGCTTTACCCTCAAACTGGTTCAGCTAATCCCAAACCTTAATAAAAACCCATATCACTTACTCACTCAATCATCAAAAAGCTCGGCACACTACAACAAGAAACGAGCGCTTACTAAAGTCAGTCAACGGAACACATTCAACTATCAACTCATCACATTTGTTCAATACAGAGGGAACGTCACTCGACAATTAGATCACCGCGATCAATGTGAATGCCTATTTATTTGTCAGTTTCATCAAAACAGACACTTCAATCGAGTGTCACCATCAATGTGGGCCAAGAAGAGAACGATGAAGAATTTTGTGGTGAATCAAAACGAAGAAATGAAGAAAAACGAAAGCAACAAGAAAAAAATGTGAGATTGGAATTAATGTTGGGAAAAGTGTGCGTTTCGTGTTTAATTCGAAGAATTTCTATTTCGATTAATGAAGAAATTTAATGGACAATGACGTTCGATACTTTGATTCGTTGCCGAACGAATATTTTTTTGATAAGAGTACCCAAAAAAAGAGATGCGATGATGGAATATCAAAAGATCAGAATATCATTCGCAGTTTACTTTGTACAAATACTCATATTTACCGAATGAAGCGGTGTTCCCGTTACTTTGAGCAAATTGTTTGAATAGCACGTTTCATAGCACAGCAAAGCAATTATCAAGCAGTACATTCGTGACGCATGCGAATGGTTTGTGATGATTTTATTGGCTTGTGCCGAGTGAAGAATATCCCTCATGGAATTACTAACGATGTTTTGCGGAATTCTGCTCGACTGAAGAACGTTAGACAGATGCGCTACGCAGAATAGAACATGCGAACTTATAAAAAGTGTTCATCAATTAGCAGCAGCCACAATAACTACTATCCGTCCCCAGACACTACTCCTATCCTCATATTTCCCTCAGCACGTTCCGTTCATTCTATTTTCTCCTCGCCTTAGAACACAAACACGAGCCAACAAACTACGAACACAGCTCAACAAGTCTCGCTGAATGACTTACTTATCACTCCACCACCCAACAATCAATAAACAAATCCCATTCTACATACACATTCTTTAATTTTAAATGAAATATATTTGGATTCATCACATTCTTCGAGTATATTTCTCATTGCATTCAATACGAAAACATAATACAAAACCATGAACGATGAAATCAAGCAGCAAATGTCTGAATGTTTATAATGTCGCAGAACAAAGCTTTCTCATGTACCTAACAATAAATATATCTACCTGAATATCGCGTTGGTTATATATCTGAATATATCTACCTTCTGCTTCATGAAAAAATATTCCAGGAATTCAGAATGATAAGAAAAGAACAATGACAAATGTTCAAGCGAAGAGTTAACCGCATACCATTTGAATGTGCTGATTTCGCATCCGAGAATATCGGTTTGGTTTCGATTACATTCGTGAGTGGTGGTTGCTCTTTGGAGAGTTTTTGACAAGAAGATGGCGAAAAACACTTCAACTGAGGTTGCGATGACCATTTTCCAGCTACAAAACAAGGGAATATATCGAAGAAATCCAATCGAGCACCGTTTCGGCAACAGTGAAAGTGATCTCTTTTAATATAGAAACACACAATCATGAATCGTGGTTTACACATCGCGTATTACTTACGGAGGCTGTTCAAAATTGGGCAGATGAACAATTTAATTTGAAATGATTCAAACGTCAATGATTATCGTCCAATCGCAGCATGATTTACTCGAATCGGATGCTAGTGAATCGAATCATCCGACAAAAATTGGGAAGCTTAACGACGCATCAGTGCTGTGGACAAGGTGAATGATGACGGAACGATAAGCGATCACTGATCAGTGAGTGGTAAGTGCATGAGAATATAAATGGTTAATATGAAATGAGAGATGAGTTGCACCTAAGCGTAAGTTCGGATGAATTATTGAGCATCGAACAAAGTAGGAAAGGACGTAGAGCAGTTGTGTGACAAGTAGCATATCATCACCCATTATCACTGTTCTGGCCAGACGTGCTGCACTGCCCACACTTCCGCTTATTTCCATGTACTGTGCTAGGTGCGCATTGTAGGGATGATGGTAGATGTCCGAGTATTCATTCTGAAATGCACGTTTCGTATGCATCTCTTTCGCACACAATCAAAGCAGAGAACGAGACCGTACCGTGCCGAGAAGCAACGATCGCTCGAGGTCAGCACACTGATCTGTTGAAGCAACACTCGCCACCCATGCCAAATGATTCATTAACAGCGATGATAACAGCGTTGATACAAAACTAAAACATCACATACTTGTCAATAATAAACGCCCTAAAAAGAACCAAAAAACTCGCCGATAATTTCTGAAAAAAACTTGGATCATCTTATTCAATCTGAATACTTTTCAAAATTCCACTTTACATTCCAAATTTCAACTCAAATTGTCGAATTTCAGTTCTTCTGTGAATGATTTTCATTTTAATCGTATTCACTATCCAACAGCAAAATAAATCCAATGATATAATATTCGTTCAAAATTTTGCACGGTTTTGTACACTTAAGAATGTAAGTTGAATGAACTTACAATCCGTTTGTTTTATGGTCATGTTCAGAGATTAACTTCGATAACGTAGAACAAAATTTATTGGCTGTTGATGCATACAATTTCTCGTCCATCAGACTCAGCCATACGGGTGCACGTAACCTGGGTGTATTGTGAATAACGCACATTGCATTCACCAGTTTCGACCATCCCTGTCACATCATCAAAATGATCAGATAAACACTCATCAACAAATGAGTGAATCAACAGCAACACAAAACAATAATTATCCTCCTGCCTCATTGCCAGATCAGTGGTAAATTTAACTGATTGCTTCGTGTAAACTTCGAATAACACACGCCACTCTTTACCTATTTCATGTACCAATTCTTGACTAGATCAAAGGAAATTTCTTGAGAGAATTTCAGAGGTCTCAAAAGATTTCTCTCTACCTGATAGACAAGATGAAGGAAGTGAGTTCTCGACAAAGACGCTTTTACAATTTGCGTTTCAAGCTTCAGCATTTCGAATTCGATCAAAGGAATATGCTGCAGTAAGAATTGACGTTCATCCTCTCTGAAATCTCAAGGTCTCCATTATTTGTCACAGCATTGACATTACAAGAGCAGTTTCATTATGTGCTCGGTGCCGTTTACAGATCAATATGATGGAATTGTAAACTTACTTCAACTTCCTATAACTGACTGAATGAGACAGAAAATAGAACAACTTCAGATGGTCTACGTAAAATATCAATTCGAAGTTCCCTCATTTCACAGCAATGATGTCAGTTTTTTCATCTCAAATACAAATAGCAATCTAACAGCGTTCACATAAAAAAGCGCTGTTCTATTGTAACACTTCAAATATCATTGGAATTTGTATATGGGTTCGGATCGGTGCATTTCCGGTCGGTTCACTGCGCATAGATCAATCATCAAAGCATTCAACTAAATCAGTGACGCTGCACCAGTGTACATTCTGCACAATGTCAAATACTAATTCTAAGAGAGCACTAAGCTTTGTGCATTATTGAAATAAATATTATCCAGTTCAACGAATAGATTCGATGGAAATNNTAATTATTAAGAATTATTAATTCAGTTTGATGAGCAACATTTGATGTGCGATGCGAAAATATACATGTGAAATTAATTAATTACCTGAAAAGAACACCAACAGCATATTGTCTTGTATCTTCATCATTCGCTGAACTACAACTACTCAAACGACTTCGACTACTCCATCGGCCAGAGTTATCTACAATTTCAATCTTTTATCCAATAAAGTCCCGTAAAATTTCACTGATACAATTAAATTCAACAGGTATTCATATTCAGCAATGCACATTCAAATAAACGTTTAAATATGGGCATATGTGGAGATGTGCATCCATTCGTTTACAGCAAATGTGAAAGGCGATTCGATTCGATTCGGATGAATGATTGTAGAACAAGTGTGCCTTCATGCACTTTGCAGGAAATTGCGATCATATTTCAAGATAAATACATTGCAAGTGGAAGGGAAGTGCAATAAATAATCTTGCTTGTAATCGATCAAATGCGCAACATACTTTCATCACATAAATTACCACGCTGCGATAGTTGTAATCGACGATATCTTGATAAACGATTCGGTGAGAATGCCCTTAACGATTCCAGTGGAACCGTCTCTTCGGAATCCAATTGCAACGAAGCGTTACGTACTCGTGAAAAACCTTAAACCGTTTCTTATTCACGTGAATATTTTCATTTCCAGTCACATTTTTTCACTCTATTCTATCCTTTCGAATAGATTGATTTCCCGGAAAAAAATTCTCTTTTGTTTCCTCCTTTCAACAGCAGTCAATGAAACTGACTCAAAACTGAAATAAACGAAAGTCACCATGAACAAACCGCTGCAGTAATCGATATAAATCACTAAAAAGAATGCATGCAAGCATAAAATCACACAGTTAATCTGTTTTCGTTGATTGCCCTTCAACAAAGTCCCTCTTTACCAAAACAAATCGAGCACAGTTTATCTGTTTGTATTGAATTCTCAATTCCCCGAATGTTTATAAAATTGTTGACAGAATGATAAACACTTCAATGCATATGATATGTACGAATCGAAGCGCATATCATTTTCGTAAATGACATTAATACCATTGTATGTTAAATGCCGCAACCATTTGACTATTCACCGTTACTCTTTTCAGTATTTCAGTCGGTTGATGAATATCAAACCGTGCATGTTGAACGAAANAAACAACGATCAGTTTCGTGAATTCAATAAAGGTCAATCCGATACGAATAATCGATTCATTCACAAATCATGCATCTTATATGAATACTTTCCCAAATCTTATTCAAATGACTGTTTATGAACTGCATCGATAGCGATGAATAGCATCAACAAGCAGTATAACACAACCTCAATGTGACCTTTCCCATTCCTCAAATACCCTCACACAATATACACCTATTCAACTCATATCATCGACCGTTTTTATTTGCTGCCTTCTCACAACACATTCGAAAACAATCTCTAATAGCGATCAACTGTTTGATCGCTATCAATTCATTAAACGTATTTCAAGCATCAATTACTTTTCTTGACTCATCAATTATTCACATCAGCATTCAATAGAACGCAATCAAAAAATTTTAGAAGGGACTCTCTTGAGTTTCCACTCGAAATTTTGCAATTTCGATAGATAATTCTTTCAACGACTCGCTACTGACATAAAAAGCGTAAATGTGTTATATTTGCATTGCAGAACTGCTAGAAGTAGAGTTATTACTCTAAAACACTGCGATGTTGCTGTCTTGCAAACTCTAACATGAGATGTGAGGTGAGAATGCACGAGCAACGAACCTTCCGGTGGTTCCACACAATGTGAGTTATGATGGTTTCGTTGTCGCATTCCTTCCAAAGAACGAATTGTCGAATAGTTACCTTCGGCTTCAATACAACCAACACTTTCCAATAAAACTTTACATTCACTGCAATAAAAATAATATCACTTTCATAAGGGATCACCTCTGCGTTCATTTCCATTCAAATGCAATCACACACAAATGGCTGTGTTGTACACTTTCCTACATGGCTCATTGTCGTCGTTCAATGACGTACAATTAATCAAAACTCCTCATCATTGAATATTCACTGCTTGGAATGCTGTTTTTTTCTTCACATAAGCGGTCTTTCTCAAATTTTCGTTCGCATTATGTGAATTTATTTAAGAATACTCGACGGTTAACGGAAATACAACTTTGAAAATGCAGTTAAGTAATAACAACTACTAGATACCATTTTACTGATGCTATTTGCTGGAAAAAAAGAGCAATTTGCTTGCTAGTAAGAAGATCTCGCGTTTGCTAACATGGTACTTACTGTATTGGTTTGACATCTCAATGAGGGCGATGCAACTAAGGAATGCACTATAATGAAGCAATATGTATCGCATCAGTGCATGTTTTTGGAACGTTTCCTTCTTACCGATTCGATTGTGCAACTGAAGTGCAGTCTGTGTTTGCAC